GAAAAACATCTGGCAACACCAGAAGCAGAAGCGTCGAGATCTGGCAAAATTGAAACAATTTTCGCAAAGGACCATGTGTATGGAGATGAGAAAAGAAAATTTACACACTGAAGTACTAATAGTTCACGAAAATAATAATTTTCGTGAACTATTAGTACTTAAGTATGTAAAAATTTATTACATTTCATGTTATACGAGGGTTTTACCCATTTCTCGAACCGTGTCAAAGTGAATCCGTGCTATAAAAGTACTGTGTTATACAGAGGATGGTACCAATTCTCGAACCGTGTTAGAGTGAATCCGTGCTATAGAAGTGCCGTGTTATACGGGGGATGGTACCAATTCTCGAACCGTGTTAGAGTGAATCCGTGCTATAGAAGTGCCGTGTTATACGGGGGTTACCTATACTAATAATAGTGTAGGAACCTCTATATCTCAAAACCTGTCTATTTCAAATAGTTTTCTTGTTTTTGTGAAATTCAAGATAGACAGGTTCAACTGTATAATAAATGCAAAAAATTTTTATTTCAAGTCTGTCTTAATCACCCATTCTCTTACTTTTGTATTAATGTTCTAGAATAAACAGAGCACCTTGTAACTCCAGCAGTAAATTTAATAAATCAAAATGTTTTTGACCTAATATCTTAGGCCTGCTTCAGTGAAATATATGAATTCAAAATATAACAAACAAACGGGTAAGCATATCAAATGCAACAAAATAATTTAAACATTAAAAAGCATTCTAAAGAAAGCACTTGTATAGAAATTAAAATTAACAAATTAATTAAGCATACTAATTAACAAAATGGTATGAAAGTGATAAAAATTGAGCTTATTAAATTGCTGCTGGAGTTACAAGGTGCTCTGTTTATTCTGTTTTTTATTCTTTATTTAGATCTTATTTATTTATTAATGACCTAGTCTAACTAGTCTAAAAGTGAAAAAAAATATATATATATTAAATTATATCATTAAATTATGACTAGTTATTGTCATAATTTTATTATTAATAAGTTATTTTGATTCTAGATTTTTCTGTTACTTATGTGAAGCATAGTTTTTATGTTTGATTGTTTAGAAATTGTTTTTATTATAAGTTTTAAGAATTTATAATTGAAAAATTGAACTCATTTTGTTTTAGATTACTTGAAGCTGGAGCAGCAAAAATATATGCCATCTTGACTCACGGTATTTTTTCTGGTTCAGCAATTTCTCGTATTAATAATGCTTGCTTCGAGGCCGTAGTTGTTACAAATACTCTTCCTCAAGAACAACATATGGAAGATTGCCAAAAAATACGGGTAATTTTTAATAATAATAATTTTTTTCTATATGTAGACAAAAATTTGAGAAATGTTTATCATGAAAATAAGCATTATTAAATGTAATTTATCATCTATAATGATATTCAGAAAAAAACATTGAGATTCAACAATAGTATATTAAAATAAAAACTATAAGATAACCAAATTATGCAATTTCATTCAATTTATCAATGATTTTTGCTCTTTTTCTTCAAAGTTTATTCTCTTATCTCTGAAAATTTACAAAATAAAAAAATTATAATTTTCCTTGAATTAACTCAAACTGTAACATTAATAACTGTAACTAATTCAATATACATTTCACAGGAGTCTGTGAAAGTCAAGCATAAAATAGGCAACTATATGAGTCTTACAATAAATGCTAATCATAAAGGCATATAAAAACAACTGCATCATTGGCCACTTCCTATGAATAACCTGTGGAAAGTGTGAGATAATCTTAAATGTCAAATTGATGTGAAAGTCACCAAGAAAAACACTATAAATACTTTTACAGCAAATATTTTTAGTAAAAACAAATTTTTTCAGCTTATTTAAGAAGCCAAAAATGAACTGTATATTAATACAATTATTATCCATATTTACTATTTGAAATATGTTACACATTAAGCTAAAGGTTATTTTGTTTATATTTTGTAATGCATCATAGAATGCATTATTCATTTCATTTTAGAATCTTGTAAATTCAATTTTAGCAGCTAAACCTGAAGAAGGCTTCTTAAATAAGCTGAAAACATTTGCTGGAAAAATAGTGTTTGCTTGGTGATTCATCTCAGTACTAGCTTAGACATTTGGTTATTGATTTAAAAAATTATACACAAGAAATTATACTAATTTGTAAGATGAGATCAATACTTAGAAGATGTAAGATTAAAAAAAAAAAAAAAAACTTATTTGCCTTCGGAAGCCCAATTATTTATTAGGATTAAATGTTTTCTGGAACTTTAACATCACATCTTCAGATACTAATTGAACAGAACAGAATAGAATAAATACATGTGAATGGAGAAAAATTACAAATTTTTAAGTAAAACAGAAACTGAATATTCAGAAACTGATATATAAAAAGTTGACTAAACATCCAGCAACATGTTGTTTAACTTTCCTGGAAAAAACATTTAAAATTATGTATAGTGCCATCTAATATGATGTTTTATTATATTAAAAAAGCTTTTCATATTTTGAGGGTAGAAACAAGTTTTATATTATATTTAATAGTATCAATCCCCTAATATACAAACCTTCCTGTCAAAATTCAGAAACTTTTGACAAAAAATACAGGAGCTAATAAGCTTCAAAGTGGGTGAACAAAATTATGCCCCTATACTCTCTAACATCCATACATACAGGAAGAAAACCCTTTAAATTTTTTTTGCATTTCTTGATGTTTTAAGGTCCAGAGTCCAAAAATATAAAATGCAACATCATGGGCTAATGTGAAATGAATTCAGTTGGAAATAAATGATGGGACAGCTGAGGTGTTTCTCAGAAGGACCAGAAAATGATTTTTCTGTCTTTTTCTGGATACAAAATAAACTTGTGGAAACATTAAATCATTTTAGATCATTGCTTGTATCTGTAAGATACCCTGGGGCTGACTCTCTTACAGAGACAAGAAATTTAAAATTTAAATAAAAGTAATCTGTAAAACTGTTTATAAAACAATAGACTAAAAATATTAATAGTGTCAATCTTTTTAGGCTTTCCAACTATTTCAGGAAGGACCTGAACACAACTGAATACATCCTCTTTCTTCCCTTCATAAACTGGAACACATTCCATGCATCACGAATCAAACTTATATTTTTTGCTTTTATTCACTCTGAAAACTGTGCCTTAACATTTCCAAGAGTTGAAATCTTATTATTTTCTTAATTTTAAAAACAAGCCATAAAAATTGTCAAGAAAAGTAGAACATGCTAAACACTAACACAATACAGTAAACTCTCTTAACTAAAACTCAAGGGACAAAAAAGGTAAGACTTCAAATTATCTGAACTTTTTCAGAATCAAAGTCTTTTGTAATTCTCAAATAGAATTATAACATTATCTTATATAATTTTACCTGTTCATTTACAAATGTGTTAATATTACGAGTTATTGCTTGTCAATTTAAGCTATTTTGAAAAAACAGTCAGTTGACATGTACTGTACTTAATGAAAACATAACCAAATTTCATTCAAAGCAAGACCTGAAAATAACATATGAAAAAAGCTTAAGTGCTTCAATAATTACTGCAAATTTTGTCTTGAGTTTGCAAAAATCATGTGATATGACAAAAAAAAAGCTCTATTAACAGCTAAAGCTATAAGCACACATTCTATTATGAATACACACACATATTTAATGGATTTTAGAATTATTGAAACAACAGATTTTTGCAAAAGTGTCTGAAATAATGAAATAATTAAATGCCAAACAGATTTCTTCTATGTATATATATTAAAAAAAAAATCTCTCTTCGTTGGCAACGCATGCAATATCCAAATGACCTTGAGTGGATGTCCAATAAATCAACAATGTATAATTGGTAAACCAAAACTGCCACTTAGGCATGGAAAACTTTTTATAAACACATAATATGATGAAATATTTCAAATTAAACAATATTTTTGTGGATCACTTGACCAGATAATGATTTCGAATTTCATTATGTGCATATTTCGAATTATCCGAACTAAAATATATGCAAAATCCAGTTCTTTTGGCAGGGAACTAGACATGACTTTGTATTATCCAATATCAAAATAACAAGGTTTTACTCTATCTTTTTTAAGCTTCACAGTTGTTTTGTTGTCAGTGTTTGGAAAGTCCTAGTCACATTTATTGAAATGATTGAAAAGCCTAACAGGAACATTTCAGTTTGTCATTTTTAAATTTTAAGTAAAAATGTACACCTAAATGAAATTTTAGTTTTTATTTAAAGATTATCTGTCATATAATAGACATCTTTGGGGTGAATTGTCAACCTTGTTTCCAATCATGTATATATATGATTCATCACACATTTCTGTACCTTCTGGTGAATGATGGTGATGATTTCATAATTACTGCAGTTAAAAATTAGAAAAATGGGTAACAGAACTAGATTTTACTGGCTTAAATTAATAGACTGTATAGAATTAAAATGCAGAGTGATACTTAATAAACCTATATAGCAAACTTAATTCTTTATTTCAGAAAATCACTTATGGCAGCTGCTATTTTCATTGTGAATGTGTCTCTTTAATCCGATTTTCAGTTCGGTAGACTATCATATACAGCTTTCAGGTTATGAACTTCTTTTATTGGTTTGTCAAATGCATTTCGGACTCATTTGTATTTTAAGTCCCTCTTCAGTACAAACTCAGATTCTGTTTTCTAAAAACCCCGGTGTATAATTGGTATCTTGTGACATAAAATATTAAAGTGAAATTTATTGTAAAAGTGTGGATGTATTCTCTTAAGTGTGTTAATAGTAATATACCACGTGTTATTAACCTGAAAAAAACGTTCATTATTGCTGCAACATTTCAATGGAGAACATTTTTTAAAAGTTGTAATTATAAAGGTTTTTATGAACAATTGTAAAGAGTACAACATATTAATGTGAATATGTATTTGAAGTGTTTATTATGAACACAATCAATGTTAATTTCTAGTACAATTGTTTGTTTGTTTATTTACAGCAATACAACACTTGGGCGATCTTGCCTAGGGGGATGCCTAACAAGAGGTTTTTTAAAAAGAAACTGGCCCCTATTCAGATGTTACAGACTGGAGAAACCCGGAAAACTCCATGTAGCCAGCCCATCCTGGCTAGTCGCAAACACACAACCAAACTCCCAGTGTTCAGGGAACAAAACCACTTGGCCACTGGTGGGCCTTCTAGCACAATACTTTAAGAATGAAGATAAGAGTCAATTCAATGGAACAGCTAGAATATCAAACTTCTTGTAAAACTAAATTTTGAGTTTTCTTCAAAGAAATTAATGATATTTTTTTTAATTCTATGAGACAGAGTGCAATTACACTATTATATAGTTACCACAACTCAACAGTAATTCTTGTAATTATTATTTTGATGTTTAATTATTGATTACTTATATTAATTTTTTTGAATAGACATTTCTAATTCAATGATTGAATTTATAAATTAATAATCAAAAACACCTTTTTGTAGAAGTAATTAACATGCACATTTTAAGATGTTTATTCTCTTTTCAGTCTGTCACAAACTTTAAATTTTACACTTGTGGTTTTTAATACTATATCTTAAAGAATGTGACATTTTCTTTTNAGTTGTATTTAATAAAATGATATATTTTGTAATTTTGAAATTTAATTGTACTTAACACCAACAGAACATTAAATTACAGTATATGAATAAATGATATAGTACAAAAAAAGGATAAAATTGTAAAAAAGTTCCATTTTTATTGTTGTTCATCAACAACCTTTACTTTATCTAGCAATAAAAAGTTATAATGAACAAATGTTTTCAAGTCACTTAACAACTCATCTTCAGTATCTGCCAATTTATATTAAAAATGTGTACAATAAACAATTGTATCACCAAACAAATGACTTCCAAGTTTTCAAACTCAAACCTGTATGTAGGTCTCATTACTATATGTAATTGTAATTTTTTTTAAGACAAGTTTAGTGCCAATTTCAGATATAAACTGATAATTTCAAGTTTGACTGTATTTGTGAATTTTTTACAGATACATTATTAGTCAATAATCACTGTCTACTCTTGTGCATTTATTTTATCATTGCAAGACTTAATGCATATAAGTACAGTGTATCCACTTTTATATCAACAACTAGTAAACCAGAAATTTTTGATTATACAGTATATATATCTTTTGATCATGAACCATAATTTGAAAAGTAATGACTTAAAAAAATATTAAATTCTGATTTAGTCAATTGGTACTGAGATAGGAAAAAAAGGGAAACATGTTAATAGTTTCTTCAGTGAAACCAAGCAATTTTGGATGTTTGTGATCCCAAGTTTATTTGCATTCAAGAAGCTTCAAGAAGAACCATATTTCCTTTAATTTTTAATAGGATAATAAACAAGCTTAATTGTATTATCACTTAAAAACTTCATAAGTGTGTGTTAGTAAGATAACACTGTTTTGCAAAAAAAAAAATTTATTTCTTCTCCAAACATTTTTACTGAATTTTATAGTTTCAATGGTGTTGAATTCAAATCTGGCAACAGAATTGGCCTAACACTTTTGAGAGAAATGAAATTTTTGAAGGAATACATTTTCTGTTTAAAATAATATATTTATTGGGTACACACATTGCTAATTGGTTAATTAGATACAAATAAATTTATGTTAATTACTCCTTTTTAATAATTCTATACATTAAAAAAAACAAACACTTAATGACATGCTTTCTTCCTTTTATATTCTTCTGAAGTCTCACTGTAGAGTCCAGTAGTAACCTATTATGTTCTCTTCAGTAGTAGAGTCAGTAGTAACCTTCTGCTATACTGCTTTTTACATTTGAGAGAGAGTGTCTGATGAAACTTTTCTCCATGTTCATCAGAAACAGTTCCTAGATTGGCAGGGAAAAAATTTAAATGGGAATGTATCTTGAATGACATGTTGCGACCCAGTGTTTGGTAGGATGTTACCAACTTCTCCATGATTTACTCATAGTTATAGCTCACAGCTCATATATTTCACAAAAAAGTCTTGCTCACATTTTTGAATGTATTCCACACTGCCCTTGCTGCTGGGTTAAGTTTTTCCTTGAAACTAGCT